AACCTCCGCATTCAGGGTACCATCTTTTGATTTAGTACTTCTGAGGTACGGAAAAGTGGCAACGGCCTTCAACCTGGTATTATTCACAAGTATTTTTGGTTCTTTCTAGGACACACTAGTTTGTGGGGTGAACATCACTTTTAACTTCCTCGGTCTAATCCTCTATCCAAAAGCATTACAAGTGGCGAAGTAGCCATCTATTATGAACTTCCTCCCGAGTGTTCTATAAAGGCATGCAACAAGTCTCGGATCAGGCACTCACAATTCTTGGATTTGATGTTGAACCTTCTAAGATTGAAACTTCTAAATCTCAAAGAGGATCCCATTTCTCAGTTCTCGAAGACCTAAGTTATAAGAGTACAGCAAAGTAGATTGAGAAAAGTGTTGGTGCAGTCTCATCTGAAAGTGAGCCGATAAATTTGAGATGAGCTTTCATATCGGTATTTAGGTGTTTCACTAAGTTGACCAAAATTGGAAGGGCAACCAATCTTACTGAGAACCTTCCACAAGGCATCCCGATTTACAGTACTTGGTACAATGGTACTCGCTATCCATTGCATTTCTCCTGTAGTTGTTATACCGCGAAGATCCTATCCATAGTACCCATTCACGCTCTAAAACCACCCTGTGCCCGTGGAATTATATAACATATGTTGTTTGTTAGCCTATTCAACAAAATCATCGCAAAGAACTTACCAACTGCTTCAAGAAGAATGATACCTCGGTAGTTATCATACACAGATGTTGAATCCTTGTTTTTAAACATTGAATTCGATCAATCCAGTCCTAGGGCACAGGAGTAGCTTCCTCGACTAGAGTGATCAAGTCGAAGACAGTTGAAACAACACACTTCAGGCTTCTTATTAATGTAGATTTGTTTGGTGGCAAGTTTTAGCTCTTGAAGAATGGGCACGATGCACATTTAGTGAAATAACTCATTCTGTGGCAAATTATCTTTCCTATGACTGTAGATGGATTAAAGAGTAGGTTGTGACGATATATATATATATATATATATATATATATATATATATATATATATAGTAAATATAACATATAGCATATAATCCATGTGGATCCTAGTAATATAAAATATTAAAACTGATCCACAAGAAGGGCTCAATGTATTTATCATTACAGAGCAAATAATTAAATAAACATTAAAATCCCAAATCACCTCATATGGGAAATAAGGTTATTTCGGCAGACGAAAATATAGGTCGTCTGTCATATGATATGGAACGAGTTCGTGTATGGACTGAGTTCAGGACACAAACTTAATCCATAGCGGGGTTCATAAGACAGACGACCTATATTTTCGCCTGCCGAAATAAGCTTTTTCCCCATAAATGATTTTATATATATTATTATATATATATATATATATATATATATATATATATATATATATATATATATATATATATATATATATATATATATATAATATATATATATATATATATATATATATATATATATATATAAACATATGAAGGCTCGGAATACATTCTTTTACTATTATTCCAAACAACACAACAATAAACTACATATTAAACAATGAAAAAACATTAAGAGAAATTAACCATACCAAAACTACCCCACCTTGAAAATGGCTAAAGAAGTGACCGAAAGTTCTTGGGAAAATGTACAATATGAACAATTTTTGGCCTCTCTCTTACTTCGACCAAACGGAAAATAAAAAAAAATGAATAAAATTTTCCTTGTCTGTTATATTCCACGAAAGATGTTTAAAAGAAGAGTTGCTGCACAAATATACATTTATAATATATATATATATATATATATATATATATATATATATATATAGATAATATTGTCAAATCCGTAAATGGAAAGGATAATGCAAGTAGAAACAATTTTTCAGGTATTAAAACTTACCGACCGAAATAGATTCATTATCGAATTTTTCGAGATGTGTTATATGTTTTCCTTTGATATATATATATATATATATATATATATATATATATATATATATGTTTTTTCCTTTTATATATATATATATATATATATATATATATATATATATATATGTGTGTGTGTGTGTGTGTGTGTGTGTGTGTGTGTGTGTGTGGAGACTGTGTGAAAACGAAGTGGCAACAGCCTGTTTCATGCTTGAGCGCAGTATTCAGCCCTGAGGTTTGCATCCAAGCATGAAGCATATTGTCGCCGCTTGGTGTTGAATATTTGTTGTTATTTTGTTCACTTTTATATTTTCATACGCTCTGTATTTACGTAGGTTCTATCTCTGATATTGAGCACCTTTGCCCATAGATATAGCATACTTTTAAAACTATATTTTTATCATATATGTGTGTGTGTATGTTTCTGTGTTTCATTGAATGTGAAAGACAAAGAAATTGTTTTATTAAGTTTTTCTGATGTTCATAAAGCTTTCTTATTCATACAATAAGTCAAAGTGTTGATGAAACATGTGCTTGCGACACCACCAACACCTGCAAAATAAATAGATTGGAGTGACAACATGAGAAGCAATAAACAAAGAAACCAACAGAAAAAACGATAAAAATGATAAAAAAAAGAAACAGAAAAAAAAAGACCAAACTACAGACGCCTCACAATCTGATATTACGCAGTGCTCAATGCCCGAATCAAAATGATCAAGTCACAATGACGATAACCAGCGACCATCAAATCAAATAAGAGACAAAGTTCAAATCGCCGCTCAGGCGACCAGAAAGTGTTTGCGACAATCTGGCGATTTGAACTCTCTGTATCTGCCTCTGTATTCGTCTCTATCTTTCTGCCTCTCTCTCTCTCTCTCTCTCTCTCTCTCTCTCTATATATATATATATATATATATATATATATATATATATATATATAGTTGTATATTTAGGCAGCAATCCTTCCTTTATGCATGTTTCATTAAAAACGACAGACAAGGTACTACGGTTGGGCTTTTTATTTAATTTTTCTTGTGTTATGACAAGAGCATTCTTTTTTGGACAAAGGGTGTGTAAGAACTGTCCGAATGTTTTATATTTCTGAGCGCTTTCGGCTATACCTTTAGCCATTATCAAGGATGATTCGATTTTCAGCTTAGTTGAGTGTGTGCGTTCTGTGTATGTATCAGTGTCTGGTAGGGATGTTTTTAATTTCCGAATACGGTTAGCACATTATGGCTTTGTTCATAGTTAATATTGTTAAGAGTTGGCTTTTTCTTTTTTATTATTAGAGCTTCCATTATTTTTAGTCTTTTTTTCTACTAGTATGTTCCTAATGATGTCGGGTAAATCTGAGTGTGTGTTTAAATGTGTTCTGATGGAGCTGTGATCAGATAGGTGTAACGTAAGACGTCTGGATAAATATGTGGTTGTGTAGCCGATGTAATTATTTGTGAGTCCGGTTTGGTGAGGAACGCAATTCCTTAAAGGGCATTTGAACTCATAGATAATGTTCGTTCTTTGTAATTTTGACTTAGCTCGTGTGTTGTTATTTCTGAGGATAAGGTTGGCTGTCTTAAATTTTTTATAATAGATAATAAATTTGATTTTTTTATTCGGATCCATTGGAGTAGTATATTTCTTTATAATATGCCTTAGAGAAGATTCGTCTTGTTTTGTTTGCATATATATATATATATATATATATATATATATATATATATATATATATATATATATAATAATAATAATAATAATAATAAGAAAGATTCATTTCGGTTATAATATATTTTGTGAATATCTATATATTCATCTCTTCAGACCGAAATCTCTTAGAAGAGATTAATATGTAGGTATTCACGGAATAAATTATGACCGAAATGAATCTGTAAGGTTTTCTTCTTGATTATTATTATTATTATTATTATTATTATTGTTGTTGTTGTTGTTGTTGTTATGGTCTGTAGTTTACATTGAGCTCTCCTTGGAATTATCCCTACCAGTCCATAACAGATAATAGAGCGATAATTATTGCTCTTATGTTTACAGGAGAAAATATGTATCATTGAACTCTTAAATAACACCCAACTATTAAATCAAAGATATGAAACCACCATTTTCACCATACTAAGGATCTAACACTACAATCTTGTTAAATTCTTAATTCCATAACTATAAGCGTTTTAAAATTATAAATCACCTCATTTGATATATTCTCTACTCTCTTATGTACCTCTCCACTAATTAGATTATGATTCTTAATTTTTTTTTCATATATGTTACTGGTAATATTTTCAGATAAATCATTTTACACCCATACTTATTTTCCACGCTATACTGTCCAGGAATATTTCAAAATTTGATTATAATAGGTTATTTTAGTATCCCTTATTTTTTTTTTTTTAAGGGAAATCACTACTTCCAAATTTTAATCTACAAAACACTTTCATTGATTACAGAATTAGTAGTGATAACCCCAACATAAATATATGCAATTTAGCTTTAGCTTATTTTTTTTTTGTTTTTTTTATAGTAAACCAAAAATAACATTCCTAATTACTACTAGAACTATCGCTAGAATTTTACCTACTCCAAGGCATCACTATCCCCGATCTCCACCTCTCCTCCCCTACCTCTCACTCTTACGAGGCTTTTGAGATGATGTGCCTAAACTTTTGACCGGTGTTTATCGGCAAGAAAAATCTCCACAGACCAGTCAACATTAAACACCCAAACCATTCTTCACCAAACTGTATCAACAAGCACTATTGTTTCACTCTCTCATCTTTTTTATGTATATTTTTCTTCTCGAACAAATGGAAAAAAGGAAGTGACGTTTCACATACGGCTTGTCAACAAGCAGGATTGTTCATAATCATTTTCGAGTCTCACCCGTCGAAGTGCGGTTGAAATGCATTGAAAAGAAGTTGCATCTTTTTAGTTAGTAAAATGGTTTTGTCTATATGATAACATTATAACACATACATACATACACACACACACACATATATATATATATATATATATATATATATATATATAGATAGATAGATAGATAGATAATATTAGTGGAAAATATACATACTATTACTTTTCGTTTTCTTCCGTCTCTTTCACTATTCCTTTTTCTTTTTTCCGTGTCTTTCACTATTCCTTTTCCTTTTTTCTCACTCTTTCACTATTCCTTTTCGTTTTCTTCTGTCTCTTTCACTATTCCTTTTCATTTCTTTCCCTCTCTTTCACTATTCCTTTTCGTTTACTTCCGTCTCTTTCACTATTCTTTTCTCTTTTTTCCCTCTCTTTCACTATTCCTTTTCCTTTTTTCACTCTTTTTCACTGTTTCTTTTCGTTGTCTTACCTCTGTTTCACTATTCCTTTTCATTTTTCCCCTCTCTTTCTCTATTCCTTTTCCTTTTTTCCCTCATTTTTACTATTCCTTTTCGTTTTCTTCCGTCTCTTTCACTATTCCTTTTCCTTTTTTCCCTCTCTTTCACTATTCCTTTTCTTTTTTTCCCTCTCTTTCACTATTCCTTTTCGTTTTCTTCCGTCTCTTTCACTATTCCTTTTCCTTTTTTCCCTATTCTTTTCTTTTTTCCCTTTTCCATTTTTTCCCTCTCTTTCACTATTCCTTTTCGTTTTCTTCCGTCTCTTTCATTCTATTCCTTTCCTCTTTTTTCCTTTTCTCTTTCTCACTATTCCTTTTCTTTTTTTCCTTTTCTCCTTTCTCTATTCTTTTTCCTTTTTTCCCTCTCTTTCACTATTCCTTTTCTTTTTTTCCTTCTCTTTCATTATTCCTTTTCGTTTTCTTCCGTCTCTTTCCTATTCCTTTTCCTTTTTTCCTCTCTTTCACTATTTCCTTTTTTTTTTCCTCTCTTTTCACTATTCCTTTTTTTTTTTTTTCCATCTCTTTTCCTTTTATTCCTTTTTTTTTTTCCTTCACTTTCACTATTCCTTTTCTTTTTTTTTCCTCTCTTTCACTATTCCTTTTCCTTTTTTCTTCCTCTTTCACTATTCCTTTTCTTTTTTCCCTCTCTTTCACTATTCCTTTTCCTTTTTTCCCTCTCTTTCACTATTCCTTTTCGTTTTCTTCCGTCTCTTTCACTATTCCTTTTCCTTTTTCCCTCTCTTTCACTATTCCTTTTCCTTTTTTTCCCTCTCTTTCACTATTCCTTTTCCTTTTTCCCTCTCTTTCACTATTCATTTTTTCCATTTTTCTTTTCCTTTTTTCACTATTTTTTTCGTTTTTTTCCCTCTCTTTGACTATTCCTTTTCATTTTTCCCTCTCTTTCACTATTCCTTTTCCATTTTTCCCTCTCTTTCACTATTCCTTTTTTTTTTTTCTTTCCGTCTCTTTTTCCCCTCTTTCCTTTTTCCTTTTTCCCTCTCTTTCACTATTCCTTTTCTTTTTTCCCTCTCTTTCACTATTCCTTTTCCTTTTTTCCCTCACTTTTACTATTCCTTTTCGTTTTCTTCCGTCTCTTTCACTATTCCTTTTCCTTTTTTCCCTCTCTTTCACTATTCCTTTTCGTTTTCTTCCCTCTCTTTCACTATTCCTTTTTCTTTTTTCCCTCTCTTTCACTATTCCTTTTCCATTTTTTCCCTCTCTTTCCCTATTCCTTGTCCATTTTTTCCCTCTCTTTCACTATTCCTTTTCCTTTTTTCCCTCCCTTTCACTATTCCTTTTCGTTTTCTTCCCTCTCTTTCACTATTCCTTTTCATTTTTTCCCTCTCTTTCACTATTCTCTTTCCATTTTTCTTCCTCTCTTTCACTATTTTTCCCTTTCGTTTTCTTCCTTTTCATTTTTTCACTATTCTTTTTTCCTTTTTCCTTTTTCCCTTCTTTTATTCCTTTTCCTTTTTCCCTTTCTTTCACGTTTATTCCTTTTCGTTTTCTTCCGTCTCTTTCACTATTCCTTTTCCTTTTTTCCCTCTCTTTCACTATTCCTTTTCTTTTTTCCCTCTCTTTCACTATTCCTTTTCCTTTTTTCCCTCTCTTTCACTATTCCTTTTCCGTTTTCTTCCTCCTTTCACCTTTTATTCCTCTTTTCCTTTTTCCCTCTCTTTCACTATTCCTTTTCGTTTTTTCTGTCTCTTTCCTTATTCCTTTTCATTTCTTTCCTCTCTTTTTTCACTCTTTCCTTTTCTTTTTCTCTTTCCTATTCTTTGCATTTTCACTATTCCTTTTCTTTTTTCCTCTCTTTCACTATTCCTTTTCATTTTTTTCCCTCTTTTTTCTTTTCTGTTTCTTTTCGTTTTCTTTCCCTCTGTTTCACTATTATCTTTTCATTTTTTTCCCTCTCTTTCTCTATTCCTTTTCCTTTTTCCCTCTTTTTTCCTTTTCCTTTTTTTCGTTTTCCTTTTCATTTTCTCCCTCTCTTTCCTTTTCCTTTTTTTTCTTCCTCTCTTTCACTATTCCTTTTCTTTTTCCCCTCTATTCCTTTTCACTTTTCCTTTTCGTTTTCTTCCGTCTCTTTCACTATTCCTTTTCCTTTTTTCCCTCTCTTTCACTATTCCTTTTCCATTTTTCCCTCTCTTTTCTCTCTTTCCTTTTCGTTTTTTTCCGTCTCTTTCACTATTCCTTTTTTTTTTCCCTCTCTTTCACTATTCCTTTTTTTTTTTCCTCTCTTTCACTATTCCTTTTCATTTTTTTTCTCTTTCTATTTCTTTCACTATTCTTTTTCTTTCCCTTTTTTTTCCTCTTTCATTATTCCTTTTCCATTTTTTCCCTCTCTTTCACTATTCCTTTTCATTTTTTCTTCTTTTTTCCTATTCCTTTTCCTTTTTTCCTCTCTTTCACTATTCCTTTTCTTTTTTTCCCTCTCTTTATTCTTTTCCTTTTCCTTTTTTCCATCTCTTTTTTCACTCTTTTCTATTTTTTTTTTTTCCTTCTTTCTATTTTTCATTTTCCCTCTTTTCTTCCTTTTCATTTTTCTTCCTCTCTTTCACTATTCCTTTTTTCTCTTTTCCTTTATTCCTTTTCCTTTTTTCCCTCTCTTTCACTATTCCTTTTCATTTTTTCCCTCTCTTTTCCTATTCCTTTTTGTTTTTCGTCTCTTTTCCCTTCCTTTTTCCTTTTTTTTCCTCTTCCTTTTCTTCCTTTTTTTTTCCGTCTCTTTCCCTATTCCTTTTCCTTTTCCCTCTCTTTCTTTTCCTTTTCCTTTTCCTTTTTTCATTTTCTTCTCTTTTTCATTTTTCCTTTTCTCTTCCTTTTCCCTTTCTCTTTCACTATTCCTTTTCCATTTTTTCCTCTCTTTCACTATTCCTTTTCGTTTTCTTCCGTCTCTTTCACTATTCCTTTTCCTTTTTTCCCTCTCTTTCACTATTCCTTTTCCATTTTTTCCCTCTCTTTCACTATTCCTTTTCGTTTTCTTCCGTCTCTTTCCTATTCCTTTTCCTTTTTTCCCTCTCTTTCACTATTCCTTTTCCTTTTTTCCCTCTCTTTCACTATTCCTTTTCCTTTTTTTTTTCCTATTCCTTTTACTATTCCCCTTTTCTTTTTTCTTTTCTTATCTCTTTCACTATCATTTTTTTCTTTCTCTTTTTTCATTTTCCCTCTCTTTCACAATTCCTTTTGAAATTTTCTTCCCTCTCTTTCACTATTCCTTTTTCGTTTTTCCTCTCTTTCCTCTTCCTTTCCTTTTTTATTCCTCTTTCCATTTTTTTCCTCTCTTTTCCTTTTCCTTGTCCATTTTTTTCCTTTTCATTTTTTCTCTATTCCTTTTCCTTTTTTCCTCTCTTTCACTATTCCTTTTCTTTTTTCCCTCTCTTTCACTATTCCTTTTCCTTTTTTCCCTCTCTTTCACTATTCCTTTTCGTTTTCTTCCGTCTCTTTCACTATTCCTTTTCCTTTTTTTCCCTCTCTTTCACTATTCCTTTTCGTTTTCTTCCCTCTCTTTCACTATTCCTTTTCGTTTTCTTCCGTCTCTTTCTTTTATTCCTTTTTCCTTTAGATTTTCTTTTCTTCTTTATTCCTTTTCCTTTTTTCCCTCTCTTTCACTATTCCTTTTCGTTTTCTTCCGTCTCTTTCACTATTCCTTTTCTTTTTCCCTCTCTTTCACTATTCCTTTTCCATTTTTTCCCCTCTTTCACTTCATTTCCTTTCCTTTTTTTCTTCCTCTCTTTCCTAAGAAAAGAAATTTTCTTTCCTTTTCCTTTCTCCCGTCCTTTTCCTATTCTTTTTCCCCTTTTTTCCCTTTTCACTTTTTATTACTTTTTCTTTTTTTTCCCTCTCTTTCACTATTCCTTTTTCGTTTTTTTCCTTCTATTCTTTCATTTTTTCCTTTTCCTTTTTCCTTTTTCTTCCTTTTCCCTATTCCTTTTTTCCTCTTTTTTTCCCTCTCTTTCACTATTCCTTTCCTTTTCCTTTTTCTTCCCTCTCTTTCCTATTCCTTTTCATTTTTTCCCTCTCTTTCACTATTCCTTTTCCTTTTTCTATTCCTTTCTTTCCCTATAAAGAGAAAGTTTTTTTTTCTTCCCTTTTTTTCATTTTATTCCTTTTATCTTTTTTCCCTCTTTTCCTATTCCTTTTACTTTTTCCCTCTCTTTCACTATTCCTTTTTTCCTTTTTTCCGTCTCTTTTACTTTTCCTTTTTCCTTTTTTCCCTCTTTTCACTATTCCTTTTCCTTTTTTTTCCCTCTCTTTCACTATTTTTTCGTTTTCTTCCGTCTCTTTCACTTATTCCTTTTCCTTTTCCCTTTCTTTCACTATTCCTTTTCTTTTTTTTTCTCTCTTTCACTATTCCTAAATGTTTTCTTCCGTCTCTTTCACTATTCCCTTTTTCCCTCTCTTTCACTATTCTTTTCCATTTTTCTCCCTATTCCTTTCATTTATTTTTTCCTTTTCGTTTTCCCTCTCTTTCCCTATTCCTTTTACGTTTTCTTCCTCTCTTTTCCATTATACCTTTTCCTTTTTTTTTCCTTTTTCCCTATACCTTTTCGTTTTTTTCCATCTCTTTCACTATTCCTTTTTCTTTTTCCCTCTCTTTCCTTTATTCCTTTTCCTATTCCTTTTTTTTCCCTCTCTTTCCTATTCCTTTTCCATTTTTTCCCTCTCTTTCCTTTCCTTTTCCATTTTTTCTCTTTTCTTCCTCTCATTTTTTTCACTATTCCTTTTTCGTTTTCTTCCCTCTCTATTTTCCTTTTTCCCTTTTCAATTTTTTCATTTGTCTTCTTTCTATTCCTTTTCATTTTTTTCCCTCTCTTTCACTATTCCTTTTCCTTTTTTCCCTCCGTTTCACTATTCCTTTTCGTTTTCTTCCCTCTCTTTCACTATTCATTTTCTTTTTCCCCTCTTTCAATATTCATTTTCCATTTTTTCCTCTCTTTCTCTATTCCTTTTCTTTTTTCCTCTCTTTCACTATTCCTTTTCCTTTTTCCTCTCTTTCACTATTCCTTTTTTTTTTTTCCTCTCTTTCCTATTCTTTTTCCTCTTTTTTATTCCCTCTCTTTTTTTCTTTCTTTCTTTTCGTCTTTTCTATTCCGTCTCTCTCTTTTCCTATTCCTTTTTCCTTTTTCCTCTCTTTCACTATACCTTTTTTTTTCCTTTTCATTTTCACTATTCTTTTTACTTTTTTCCCTCTCTTTTACTATTCCTTTTCGTTTTATTCCGTCTCTTTCACTATTCCTTTTCCATTTTTTCCCTCTCTTTCACTATTCCTTTTCGTTTTCTTCCCTCTCTTTCACTATTCCTTTTTCTTTTTTCCCTCTCTTTCCCTATTCATTTTCCATTTTTTCCCTCTCTTTCACTATTTCTTTTCTTTTTTTCCCTCTCTTTCACTATTCCTTTACGTTTTCTTCCCTCTCTTTCACTATTCCTTTTTCCTTTTTCCCTCTCTTTCCCTATACCTTTTCCATTTTTCCCTCTCTTTCTCTATTCCTTTTCGTTTTCTTCCGTCTCTTTCACTATTCCTTTTTTCTTTTTTCCTTCTCTTTTTCCTTGAATTACTGTTCATTTGCATCTAGCATGAAACAGACTGTCGCCTCAAAGTGTTGACTAGATATGTTCACTGACAGATATATATATATATATATATATATATATATATATATATATATATATATCAAAGTAAACGTTATAGTTTAACATCGCTTGAAGTGTTGAAAACGTAAGTGTAATTGTGTAGCGATTTTTAACATGTTTTAATACCCTAAAATAAATAAAATTATATATATATATATATATATATATATATATATATATATATATATGTGTGTGTAATTTAAAGCATAAAAATTTATATATAAGGCTTGAAACTGCCGCATTCATCGAATGGTTATATGGTTTTGAAAATGATTTATTAGAAATAATTTACACTTTCATAAACATAAAGATCATTTTCAGAAACATCAGTCTGGCAAAGTCTTTTGTCAAATCTGGAAAACAGCAAATTTTTTATAAAATCACACCTAAAGATTATAATATTTTAATTAGAAAAAAAAAAAACTTAACTGAAAGTGATAGAAAAGTCGCTAGAGTGATAGAAGTGGTGAGCAAACTCTGCCCCAAAAAGAATCATATATAGTGTTTCAAAGACCATAAACTTGATTTTGAAACTAATCTTACCACCAGCATCATAAACCTAGTAGGCCAGAAATTTGGTAAAAAAATTAGTATGATTATCCTCGATAGAGTCAACAAGCTGATTAAATTCGCCTTGGTGGGGTTCAATACAATTCAAACCACTGATATCATCAATTGTGTAAGAATATAAATGATAAAACTAATTGTTCATTGATCCAGTTTGATATAATGAATTACTACCCATCCATTTCCAGGGATCTCTTTACATTGGTGCTGGAATTCGCAACAGTACTCGATCTTTCAAACGAGAACTGACATTATTATGAACTCTTAAAAATCTGTCTTATCCATAACAAAGAACAATAGATAAAAAAATAATGCAGTTGACCAATTTGATATAATAATGGGATCGTTAGACTCGACTGAGTCTTCCGACTTTGTTTGTTCATTTTATAACCTTAGTTCCACCATTATATCAAGATAGAATAAACATACTTATTATAAAACGCAGATTGTGTGAGTGTGTGTGTGTGTACGTTTATATATTGAATCAGATTTTTAAATTTTTTTTTCAAACTGATTTCAATAAAAACTTACAAGACTACGTAAAATTACTTTTGTTGGTGGTTCTGACAGCGTCAAATTGGAAAACACAATTGTTTTTTAAAAAAAAATCAACAAAAAAAACACGATAAAACACGATTCTGTCGCCAGAATGAAAGGGGACAAATGTTTCGTCTTATTATAAAACATATTTTGTGTGTGTGTGTGTGTGTGTGTGTGTGTGTGTGTGTGTGTTATTTTATATGGGATATAAATTTTTTCAACCGATTTCAACAAAACAAACTTTTTTGGCAGGTAGTGTTTCTTATTGTCTTTTACCAATTTTTTCTTTATTTTTACATTCAGAATGCTTTTAAAATTCCATTTACAAGACAATTGTTTATAAAATATTCAATCGGTAGACTCATAATGATTGAAAACAATGTTTTGTTTTTTGGTTTGACCAATTCAAAAAAAAACAAAAAAAACAAACAAACAAACAAAAAACTAATTAAGACATGCGTGTCCGTCAAATAAACAATAATCTTTGTCAATTTTATTTTCAGTCTTTATGATGGTCAATACTTGATCTATCTCTCACTGTTACATCCTCGGGTTTACTGCTAGTATATTTATATAGAGATTCAGTCTTATGGTAGTGAAACATTCTATAAAAATCAAAAATAAACAAAATCAGGAAATTAATACTTAGGGAATTTAAAAGTATTTAAACCTGAAAGTTATAATAAAAACAAATTTACAAAAAGTAGATTTCCTCGATCTAACACTAGATGCACAATGAAATAATACATACCAACCCAACACGAAAACCAATGCAATTCCATTATACCTCCACCCAAATTCAAATTGCCCTCCATCCATATTCAAACACATACACTCATCCATTGTATATAATCACTAATAAATCTTCCAGTGAAGATGTATTTTATAAACATATCAATTTTTACAACACTACTTTTTTAAAAAATAGTATTTATAATTTGACATTAAACATAGGGAAACATAACAGTATTAGAGGGGAAAATAGAAGAGAAAATCATTTGGTACACACCCCCATTTAACCAAATGATTATATGAATCTTAGACAGTTTTTTTTAAAATTTAATTTAGAAACACTTCCACACTAAAAATCCTCTTAGTAAGGTTTTTTAACAAAAATTTTTAAATTAAGTTGTAGCTATATACGTACAGATAACGTTGAAAAACTTATTAAAAAGCACAATAATAAAATTTTAAATCACCAGTTTTAAACCTAAGTAACAATAGCCATATAAAAGTTAAACAAAAATAATGATACTAACTTTGTAATAGTAGAAATCTTAACTATTGTCCATTACAAAATAGATGACAAAAAGATTATATTGTTTGCCTATGTACTATTTCATCAAAGTGAAAATCCACCAATCAAAAAATTTTTATATCGGTAGTACCAAAATCCTTTGAAAACTTGGTGGTATCTAAAACATCATTTTTCATATACAATGCGTATCGTAACAAAAATAATCTATTTCTAAATAGTTTTTCTTGAAAATAAACTTAATAAATAAATGAAGTGTCCATTAAAAATAACTAAAACCTGTAAAAAAATGTCATCCATTAATAAACCAAAAAAAATGTTTCTTAAGAAAGTTACCTAACAATAAAACTTTCAAAGAAATGAATTAATGCTATGCCGCCAGAATAATTTACCTTAAAATAAAGGCATAAATTATTTAATTTAGTATTATTTTATTATTATATAATGGTTCACCCAACATTTATTTGATTTATTTAAATATAATATTGCCATGCTTTTACCGACTATTCCAGAATAACTTTCAACCTATATAGATGTTTCCACATTTTAATTTTACCTTTTTGGCCCTATTTACTAAAAAAATGAAAAATATTAAAAAAGAAATATCCTTTTTGATAAATTTATGTCTAAAATGTTCTCAAAAAATCGGTAATCTCATTCTTGGATACATCAAAAATACATTTGTCGCAAAAATACAATTACCTAGTATCGCTGAACTGACATGTCAAAAGCATCAGATTTTTGAAGGGTAAAAATAACCCATCAAAATTCCACCTTTTGACCTTATTTTTATATTTCATTTCATTGGTTAATCTAGACATACCCATAAGTATATTTTAATTCTGACCTTACGCCCTCACTTTCAACTTACAAAAGAGGTAAAGATTTGTTTTTTAAATTTCTCTATTAAAACATTGTCGTATCTGCTGGTTACCTGGACCATCGTCTAAGGAAGAAATACCATCTTAGTACGATGTAAAATGTTTTAATTGTAATTTATTATAATTGATATATATATATATATATATATATATATATCTGTGGTATCTTTCGGCAGCAATAATTCTTCTGAAATGAATTTCGTAATTCAACGACATTTAAACGGCCCAAGTAATTTTTTATGTGTCGTTTTTTTTAAATATAGATGAACTTTGTCGAATTTACCGATAACATTGCAACTAATGCGGAAATTGTGTTATTTTTAAAATGATTTAGACAGATATATATATATATATATATATATATATATTTATATATATATATATATATATAACATTTAGCAAAAAACATTAAGAGATCTCTTTTATACAAAACAAAACTTTTATATTTTATATTTTTATATATATATTTTTTTTAATTTTAATTTTTCAAATGGATAAACCCAAGGAGGATGATATCCAGAGAGCTCAATGTAAATTCAGAGTAAATAAATTTGTATTTTTCAGACCATTTTTAAAAGTTCCATATAATAAATTATTTCATCACAGCCCTTTAAAGGGCTTCTGATCAAAATGACTTTACCTAAAGGTTGAAACAAAATGAAAAGAAATTTACACATTTTTGACGGGCCGTCAAACATATATAAATTAACGAAACAGGTAGGGGGGAGAAGCAATGAGTGACTTAGATGTTTCAGATCAGAAGTTGTCACAAGCTTCAGTTGTAATATTGGTAACACATACTTACAATAATTATATTTATCATAATTAAGTTCTTTTAAACTAGCTTTATTGTATATTTAAAAAGTTAGCAATAAAATTACCTGATTTCTCTGAAAAGATGCAGGACAAAAAGCACATTACCTTAGAATATAAATGTTCTCATCATATACAATATAACATCTTCACTACATATAAATTGCACATGTTGCCTTATGCTTCAGAGTCTAATATGGAGGTTGTTCTGACAACAAACATGTAAAGAAAAAAATGGTGTATAAATAGATGTCCCATGTTTCTGTTTTTCATTTGCCATGTAACAGGTGCTTGTCTTCAATATTACTCAATGAGGAAATTGACTTTCAGTAAAAGCAGACTGTAATATCTTTAGCTGGATCATTTTCACGTTCATGTAGTTTGTATAGTCGTTTAGTTTCGAGATAAAATACACTTTTAGTCCAACTTGTTTGGATATTTTTTATGAACTGTTCCTTCATCTAAAAACAATTATCAATCTAAAAAAAGAGACATATAATAAACATGTCAGATGGCGTCATATTATGTTTTGCATTAAAGTTTGTTTCCTTCATAACGGTCGCAAAATTCCCATGATAATTCGTTTTTTTATTTTTTCAGGTTTCTATGAATCCTGGTTAATAAATTAACAAAAGATAATCATCCTCAAGAACTGTAGAAACACTCCTGATTAATTCCCATGAATTCGTTGTCTGTTTTAATTTAACAACATGTGTTTGTTATAATGATCTTCATTGTCTTTTTGCTGTACAAAATACTTTTGAGCCATTCTTAATCTTTCTCATACTTCTAATGGCGTCCATTTCCCAAATGTCACGGAGACCAGCGTTTTCGATTTCGTATGCCCTGTGATTTTTTTTTTAGTGGGAT